TAAAGAATGCAAATATGAAGCACATGAGGGCTTGCTCAGCTATAACATGAATACCAAATTCCAACATTTCTGAGCATTTCTCACCTGAATTTTTCATCCTCAGTGACCTTTGTGATGACATTTCCTGCTACCACCTCTGCTGACCTGCAGCTATTGCAGTGTGGCTGCTGTACTTTCTTGATACTTTGCCCTTTAATTCTCAGGTAAAACAACATTCTGGTGAGTTTTGTTAATGAAAGTAAGAAAGGAGCATGTTTTATAATGATTTATTAATTGCCCAGGTGGTCTTTTCTAGTTTCCTTATTTTTCTTGTTTAATTTTTATCTCACTTGCTTATAGTGTATATCATTAATATTATGAATTAAATTCTCTGCTTAATTATCTGATGACATCAATGAAATTCCATATGACTTCCCTGTAAGAACTTGGTTGGGTCCAAAGACTTTGGTTCACAGATATTGTGACAATAATATTAATAATTAAAACAATTAACATTTCTCAAGTGTCTACTTATGTGCCAGATAGTAAGAACTATTTCAAATATATGAACCTATATGAAAGTAGAAAGACTAGTGTAATGATTACCCATTTCCTAGCTTCAGTAGCTACAAGTCACTACCAAGTTAGCTCACTATATCCTCACCCACCTTTCTTCTTCTCTCACACTGGATTGTTTTGAAGCAAACCCCAGGCATTACATCACTTAAATCAGTGAATGTTTTAGAAGGTAAGGACTCAGTCTAATACAATATCATTTTAATGTCAAAGAACTACTAAGGTATGATGTCTCCTTCATTTTTTTTGGGGGGGTGTCCTTTTGTTGGTTACATCTTTGAGAAGTTTTGGTTGTGAATACACAGCCCTAAACATTTTTAAATTGCTTATCGAATCATAGACCAAAAGTATATTTTTAGAATATAATTTTAGATTTGTTAAGTAGTAAACTACTTCATCATAAAACATGCATTTATTTTTGAGAGAATACTAAACAGCTCATATCCTTTGCCTAAAAATAAACTTTTTTTCCCTTTAGTAATTATCTTCTTTTCAGTCCAATTTTCTTTTCTCTGGTATTCAACAGGATTTCAATTCCAATGAGTTTTTATTTTTCTATGTTCATTGTGAAATTATCCCATTTTTTTTTTCTTCTATCTGCCTTTCAAGCTGTGGAATTTAAATGCATTTTTTTTAGCGTCTTTGGTATGGTTCAGTGGTGAAAGCACTTTCCTCACATGTATAAGGCCCTGGGTTCAAACCCCAGCACTGAAAAATAAGTACATTTTTGGTCAGAAGTGTATCTATTTGGGAATTGTAAAGTCCATATTCTTTAACTCAGAGATTGCTAAGAATAGGCTGCTGTAACTATTGAATATAAGAGGTAATTAAGTGGTTAAAAACATGGATTTTTGGGTTTGGACTCCCTAGTTCAAATTCTGGTTCTGGTAGTTAATAACTAGCATGTGACCTTGGCTAATTTACTTAGTGTCTATGTGCCTAGGTTTTCTTGCCTGTAAGATGGGGAATGATAGTAATACCCACCTTATAAGGTTATTGTGAGAATTAAATGAGCTAATAAATATCAAGTCCTTAGAACTCTGTTTGGCTTATAGTAAGTGTTGCATAGATATTTTTATTATTATCCTGAAATCTATTACTTCATTTGCAATTTCAACAAAATTCAAAATAGTTAATTCACCATTTAAAAATTTCTTTCTACGACTTTCATATGAGCAAATTATCACCCAATTTTGTCCAGAGAATCTGAAAGCACTTTCTATATGCTCTACAGTTTCTTTTATCTTTCCTTTAATCTTTAATGTTAACTTACTTTAATAAGGGCTGGGGTTGTCGCTCAGTGATAGAGCGCTTGCCTCGCATGTGTGAAGCCCTGAGTTAGGTCCCCAGCACCACATAAAAATAATCAAATAAAATAAAGGTATTGTGTCCATCTACAACTATTTTTTTTTTAAATTTACTTGAACAATTAACATGTTAAGAAATTTTTAAAAAGTGTGTGCAAACACACATACTCACACACTTCTGTTCAAAATGGTGTTTCTATTTATTGAATACTTATTATGGTGCTAGGGTATTCAGCAAGGAACAAACAGAAAAATTCTCCATTACCCAGGAGCTTATGTTCAAATCTCAGAGCCAGGCAATAAAAGTTAAGAGGGAATGTTTTTTTTCAAAAACTTGCTTCATGATACCCTTTTAACCTTAAACATTGTAAATCTAAATATGGTTTTGAAGCAAATATCTGCTTTTTCTCTTTAATGGTATATTAAATAGGTTATTAATAATTTGCTTTTAAAAAATTACCCTGCTTTTTTAAAGGAACAAGGTGGGAAAGTTTTGTTTTAGAAAAGAATGTAGAAATATGTTAACACCCTTATTTAATCCATTTGCCTTTCCCCCTACTGATAGCATTAATCTTTTTATTTAAAAAAAAATTTATCATGACTCATTCTTGAAGTTGGGAAATTCAGATTTAGTTTACCAGAGTTTCTCAGAATGCTCACACTTAAGACTGTGGGAAAGGATGCAGCTGAACAGCAATGTATTAACAATATGTGTTGAAAAATCAGTTCCTCATTGACTGTGTACAAAATTTCTATTAGTTCTTAATGGCACTACTTCCTCTGTGGATTATGTAGGAAATGCTTTAGTCTGAATAATCATTCCCCAGGGAGGGGAAGCCTTCAAAAGAAATTCACTTAGAGAAAGAAAGAGAGGGAGGGAGAGAAGGATGGAGGAAGGGAGGGAGGGAGGGGGAGAGAGAGAGAGAGAGAGAGAGAGGGAGAGAGAGACTGACACCCTGATTATGGTAGAATACTGAACTGAGTCAGTCACCCATATGTGCCTAGTATAAAGAAAATAATTTGAACATGGCAATAGTGTCTAATTACATGAAACACTGTATGCTATTGCTTGTCACCACAGTTAACAAAAAACAAAAAACACAAAACAAAGTAATAGCAATAATAGATGGCTAATCCAAAGCTTGAGGAAAACAATGGTGGTAGACTCAGTTTTCATAATACCAACAAAACTGAAAATTCTAATTATCTGAATAGTTACAGAAGAAATAACTCTATCACTCTTTTGATGGAATTATCTAGGCTCATCAAGCACAGTGGGTTATTTCCCTTCAGTTACCTTGACATTAGGCTACAGTCTGGTTTAGATTGGAGATGACCATAGTGAGCGTTAGTAGGGATGAAATGATGTATTCTCAGAGTTCTCTTTTGTGGTTTTCGACCTGGGACTATTGCATATGGTATGTATGTGGAGAGTGTGTATATTTTTCAAAGAAATATATCCCTACCCACTCTTTGTAATTTTTTAAAAAGTTCTCCTGTTGATTATCTCCTAGCCCTGAATTAGCCCATAGCCCAGGCACATACTTTCCATTCCTATTAGAACTCACTTTTAGGACTGTGAATAGGTTAAGTTTTGAAAACATTCATTAGTGTTAATTTCACATGAGATCTTTATCTTAATAGAAGTCTTTTTCTTTTAAAATCAAGGTTGGCTCAGACCCAGAAAGACTGAGACTAAACAAATGCAATTTTCACATGCATACACTAGTAAATAAATTAAGGGGGAAATGTGGGCTGTCAGTATACTGGTTGGGATGGGAAGAACTGAGATGTTTTCTAATAGGTTGAAATGTGGGGTCAGCTAACTTTTAAGGTGAGGATCATTTCTTTAAAAAGGTCAGAGAGAGAGAGAGAGAGAGACAGAGGGGGGGAGAGAGAGAGAGAGAGAGAGAGAGAGAGAGAGAGAGAGAGAGAGGGGTAAGCTTTCCCAGAGAGACATTAGGGTTACTGAACACATGAGCTATAAATTGCAAGTATGCAATTCAAAATTTTAAATCTGACCTTACATATCCCTGTGGTCCATCTTCAGTTTGCATGTCAGAAAGAGGGTACTTTTTCCTCAGCTTGAACATTAGTCCAGCAAAAATAAACAAATAAATAAGCAAATAAATAAATAAATAAATACTGATCTCAGGAAAGAGGGTAAATATTTATAATGATGTTGGTGAGATTTTTGTTAGTGCAATATTCTAATTTGTTAAAAAATAATATTCTTTCTTTCTTCCTACCACACTTGTGACTGAAAAGACCTCTCGCAGTCCCCCATACTGTTAATTTTCTGTATGTAATTAGCAAAACAGTCTCAAGAGATAAATGTATTTATTTGGATGAGTCTTCATTTTAGCAGATTCATAGTGTTTTATGATATAGAATGAAGCACATAAAATATCTGTAGACAATTTTATACGGAAGTTCAGGGTAGAAGTGCTCCTTACCTAGTTTGGAGATGAGTGGGTTAACTGTCAACTACCAGAGGTGTCTAAGTCCTGATTTTCCTGGAATGTTTGCATATGTTACTTTGAATGAATGACTTGAGTGAGAATACTAAGATTTTCCTTTTCAACTTTACCTCTTTCAAAATCATAATGTTATAGACATTCCTTTATGTTAACCTTATTTTAACAACATTCAGGTACACAGTCAAATCTTTTATAACTGGTAAGTGATCTAGCTGTAACATACCAGTGTTGAAAGCTGCTTGGAAATGATCTCTCACCGTGAATTTCCCCAACAGTTGTGATACACTTTAAAAGCATTTTTTTTTTTTAAATCAGAACACTTATCAGAGAGAGCCTAATTGAGAAGAATATTGCATTGGTAAATTGCTCTGCCCAAGACAACTGCTGCTCTGTTTCTTTTCAGATTTTAAAACCTAAGTCCCAAATCACAGTCTGCAGTTAAGAGCTCCAAACAATAATTACCTCTGTGAAATGAGCAGAGGTCCTTAAAAGGGTCTGCCGGTTTCCCCCTCAATCTTACAGCGTGAGCAGTGCTGTATCCACTGATAACCCAGCTGCCTAGGAACTGAGTAAAGCCGGCTCCAAACTTCTCAGCTGTTGACAGGCTCGACTTGCTGAGAACACTGGTTAAATATAGCACTCGCGAGCTCAGCTCCTCAACAAAGTCATTGCTCTGACAGTGTTGTGAAGGGAGCAGAAGAGGAGAAACCTAATCTCAGAACCCAACAACACCTAGCAACAGTTGAAAAAAACTTTTAAATAAAAGTCGGTGGGAGATATACAACTCCCAATTTCTGCTGATCAGGATTTCAGGGAGAAGCTGCTTTCCCCCTCTCTACTCAATTTCCTGCATGACTTCAGCTATTGGCTAGACCCAGGAAAGAAAGTGGGAAAAGCTTTTTCCTCTGTATTCTTTTGGGCTGGATAGTTTTTCAGAACTCGAGTCTGTCCTGGGCTGTGGGACAAGCCACTGGGTTCTTCAAAGGATAAACTACCTCCATAAAGGACATATCCTTGGTTAAACGAGCTGCTGGCAGGTAAGAGCAAAATACATAGCTACTTACTCTCGTAAGAAATTTCTGTTTCTCCAAGAACAGAGTTCTCTCCGATTCTGTCTTGTCTCTTTCCTTTGATTCTTCCTGTTCTACTATGTTAGGAATTATTATAATTATTTAAGAAAAATCAGAGACTTCATTTCTGTTTCAGGATTATACAGATTCCTTTTAAACACAAAGAATTTTATAATGTTTTAAGAGCCGTCAAACTATTTCTGCCAAGTTATCACAGGTAACAGAAGTATGACGAAAGACAGTTTTGCAGCTCCTTTCACAATTGGGTTGGCTAAGCAGTGGAAGGGATATTTCCCCAGAAGCAAAATAACTTTCATTTATTGAAACTAGCTAAGCCTCATGTATGGTAAATGAGAGGAAAGCCCCGCATGGTACTCCTATTGCTGCACTTGGGACTTGCTGTCTTATGTGTCTCTTTTTGCGTAGGTCTCTGATTACACTGGTACACCTTGTGCTGATTCTGACCTCATTACACTACGGTCACCCCAAACGCTTCCCACTAGGCACCAAGTATGCCTGGTGTGGAATCATTACTTTTGCAATTGTTGAGTATAACTACTCAGGAGCATGTTGTGTATATTTTAAAACAAATTGAGTCAGTGCTTTTATATAGATGTAACAGATTCTGTTTTAAAAACTTAAACTGAATTTATTAGAAAAGAATCCTTTCTTAAGTTGCATGGATGTATGTATGGGTGTGTTTACTATGGTGTGAAGGAAGTTCTCATTTTAAATGATGAGTTTATTGTCTCCCCCTTCCATGATTTGCTATGCAATTTTAGCAGAATTTCTTAGAGTGAACAATTACTTGTTGAATCTGACAGGTTACGGCTGTACATTGGTGAAAAGGTTAGAACTGATACCTGTGGTCTGTAGTTAGGCTGGCTTTGCACAGAGGATTAGTGAATTTTCTAGGCTAAGGACACTATCAAAGAAGATATAAAAGCACATTTTAAAAGAAATTGTTAAAGTTTATTTTGTCAACATAGAGAAAGAAATCATCTATGAATTTTGAGCAAATTGTTAACAAATTGTAATGTATCAGCTTTTTTGGTAAATGTTCCTATTTTAAGAAAACCAAATTAAAACTTATATAGTGTTCAAGAAAATGAAATAGTACACACATTTCAGTATGTTTTATGTTTCATAGTTCTGATTACTTGATTAATTTTCAAACTAAGTGAATTTAATCATATGTAATGATATGTACTAGTAGTGGTGCACTTTGGTAACATTAGGACTGGAGAAGAAACTCCTAGTGCTTTACTGGAAATGAAAATCTTTGTCTTGAAAGAGTTTTGCAAAGTCAGAAATAAATGCTTTAAGTTTTTCTGATTTTTATCCTAGGAAGGGTCACATTGTTGGCTTCCAAATGCCTACTAATGCCAAGATCTGCCATGATTTCTATACAAGTAATTTCTTTTGGAGTCAGGGGGACAGTTTGTAGATAATGGAGCACAGTATTTGGCCCTGAATGAAAGCCACGTTTGCTGATGAAGTGGAGTTTTGAGTGTCATTAACTGTCTTCATGGCTGTAAGATTACTCCTAAGAGTCAAGAAGAGCTCAAATTAAACCATGTGATTTCCTCCACTATGTGAACAATCAAACTCTTCATGACTATGCAGATCTGTTCTCTTATTTATGCAAGTACATGTTTCTGTGCCATTTTGAAACCCTCCCCTTCCCCTTCATCATACATTGCCTTGTCTCCTACCATAAGAAGTTCCATTCTCTTCACCCTTCACCTGATTTTAATACTGCTCCCCCTCCTTCCATCCCCCACTGCCACCCAAATCATCTTGCCCATGATCACGGGATTAATTTCACTAAAGCATTACTGTGCTTGTCTGTCTACTCTTCAGTTATCTACTGGGACTCTTAGTTGCTGCCAAACACCTAGGCTGGGTATTTTGAAAGCCTTCCATCGTCTGGCACCTACTTAACTTTTCCAGTCTCTTTCCCATTACTCAGCAAGAGGTCCATCTACTTCAGGTATTTCAGATTATGGTCCATTATCCAAACACATACCCAGTGAACATTTCAGTGCTTCACCTTTGCTCATGTTATTCCCCATGCTTGGAATGCATTTACTCTCTGTTCTTGTGAAGACTTTGTCTACTCCTGAAGACCCAGATCAGTGTCTTCCACCCTTCACTCTGATTTTTTTCGGGGCCATAACTTTTAGAAGTGATTTCTTCTAGTTTAGACAGTTTGGTGCTCTGTTAGAATTAGGGTGCTTTGGAGTAGGTTTTGCCTCATTAAATCCAGGGCAATTTTATAAAGTCTTTTAGACACAAGGTGTTACTAAATATCAGTTGGTTTAATGGTTTGGATAGGAGTTGTCCCCCAATAAGCTCATGGATAGGCAATTAGATTATGAGCTGTAACCTAAACACTGAGTTAATCCACATGATGGGTTAATATTTTTAAAGGAATAGTGTGCAAGGTAGAGCTGTGGATGGAGGAAGTAGATCTCTGAGGCTATGCCCTCAGGAATTGTATGTTGTCCGCCTGGCTCCAGTCTCTTCTCTCTCTGCTTTCTGGCCACCGTGAGATGAGCAACTTTCCTCTTGCCAGGCTCTTCTGCTATGATGCTCTACCTCACCTCTGGTCTAGAGCAATGGAGTCTGCCCACTGCAGACTGAACCTCTGAAACCAGGAACCCAAAATAAAATTTTACTCCTTTAAGTTGTTCTTGTCAGGTATTTTGGTTATAGCAATGCAAAGCTGACTAATACAATTGGCTTTGAAGTTTCTCAGTCCCATTAACATTGCGGATGTTCTGCTAACTTTTGTGGCTCTAGATTTCTGATGATGAGTATATCAGAAGTATGGATAAGTATAAAATTAAGAAAGAAAAGTGATTATACATTTGGTTAATAGCTTTTTACTCAAAAAATTCTGCAGGAAAGCCCTCATGATTTTAGCATGCAAAGAAAAATTATAATTACAAGCAATTTTAACTATGCTCATGTATCTAGTTGTGAAGATGATGTTGTATCTCTCAGAAATCTAATTGAAAGGACATCTGTCTATCTATCTTCTATGTATGTACCAGAACTTCTAAACCTCTAAATATTATAACTAATATACTTTTATCATTTTTCGCTGCCAGATTTTATTTATAGTGACCTTTGGTACAGTGATTTTAAGTCATAAATCCTTCTATTTGTGAGTTAAGGATTAGAATCTGGGCTTGAACATTAAAACATTTAAATATATATGATTCTTTTTCTGTGTTGTTCTTCCATTCCAAAATATTTTTAAAAAGAGATGTTTCTCAGCACTATCTTTAATCATGAGAACTGCAGTCTTGCTGCATGATATCAAGCATGAATTATGCTTTCTGAAGTGATTTATTCTGTGTCTACCAAAAGAAAAACAAAGAGGTTAAATTTACTCTTCTAAATGGGCATTCAGCAAGAATCACTATGGAGTTTTTCAATGGAATTTGTGAAACATTTAATATATTCATTAAGCATTAATTTCCCTATGGTTACATTTTTTACTTATTTTTTAGAAGTGAAACTTAGAGTGTCAAGATCATTGTACTGTCATGTGTAACTAATTAAAACAAATAAAAAAAGAAGTGAAACTTAGAGTATTACACATTCTAAATAGTGCTAATTGCATTTTTCTTTTTTAGGCAGATGAACATTTCTTCATGAGACAGGTGTCTTCTATTTAGGATGTTATAGAGTTTATGCACATTTTCACTCATTTGTTTAATTTTATGTCTTTAAACTTGTGGATTTTAGAAAGGTATTAGCATGATAAGGGGGACAAGCTTAGGTTGAGATCTACTTCAATATAAAAGTTCAAGAGAAAAATATTGGTAACAGCTCAGAAAAATGACATAAAAGTCTGCCATGTAAGTTTGTTTTATACTTGTTATTGTAATATATATTTATAAAGTAAAAATATAAGCTAATAAAAATATTTTCTTTTCTTAAATCTGAGTTGAAGATATAACAACAAGGATATGTTCAGGAAAGGCAAATCAGTGCCTCAGATTCCTCATTGGTAAAATGAGAATAATAATGCTACTTCTTCATTGAGTTGTTTCAAGATTAAATGACTTAATACAATATATGGTTGTCTGATAGATTTTCCAATAAATTTAATCTATTATTGCTTTGTCATCACACTTTAAATGTAGTTATTTGTTTAAAACTTTAATCTTTGTTGTACACAAAATTCTTGGATACTAATGGTTTGTGAACTCAAGTTCATAGATCATACAGAAGGCAGAAGAATGTATTGTTTAAATTTGGAATCTTGTTTGGAACATACTTTGCTGCTGGGTACTCTAAGCAGACACAGTTTGAACAGCAGCCAATAATTTAGTATGGAATTTATGTTTCAAACCCTCCCTTATCACTCAGCAGTCTGCTGTCTTATAGAAGCATTACTAAAAAGGCTAAGAAATCACCCATAGCAAAAACTGCTGTATGGTTTCTATATTTACACTTAGAGATAAAGAGTGTTTATACACAGTACTTGGGTGCCTCTTTGACAGCCAGCTACCCTGGGTGATGTATCAATGGAGACTTCCATGGAGAGATGCAGTATACAGTTATCATTCCTTATTTCTTCTCTTAGATAATTTGTTGTGTTTTTACTAACCTAGTAACAGATAAAAATGAAAAGACCAAAAAAGGTCATCTCATGCTAACCTTACCCTTACCAAATAGAATTAAACTCTTGTTATTCACTGCCATTAATCCTTTTCATTCTTAAATATGACAAGAAAAACATGTTCCAAGACAAACAAAAGAGTATTATATCATAAATGTGTATGTGTATATATGCTGGCATGCTTAATATTCTGCATATTTAATTTAACAAAAATACATGAAGCACCCCCTAAGTAGGGAAGTTTCTTAGTAGCTTTAGTGGCGATAAACCTTACACAGGAGAACTGTAGCTTAGACTTTTTGATTTTACTTTTTTTTTTCCCAGGTGA